TGATACGGCCTCAGCTGGAGTGTCGTGTCCAGTTCTGGGCCCCACATTTCAGGAAAGATGTTGGACAAATTGGAGAGAGTCCGGAGAAGAGAAGGTCTAGAACCCCTGAGCTGTGAGGGAAGATTGAAAGCTCTGGGTTTGTGTAGTGTGGAGGAGAGAAGACTGGGGGGGGACGTGATCACACTTTTCAAGTACCTGAAAGGTTGTTACAAGGAGAAGGGAGAAGAATTGTTCTCGTTAACCTCTGAGGACAGGCCAAGAAGCGAGGGGCTTAAATTGCAACAAGGGAGGTGTAGGTTGGACATGAGGAAAAACGTCCTGTCGCGGGTTCACACCGGGGGAGGTTTAAGGGCAGGTTGGACAAACCCCTGCCAGGGATGGTCTGGATAATACTGAGTGCAGGGGACCGGACCGGACGCCTCACGAGGTCCCTTCCTGGTCTGGGATTCCAGATGACCTGTGGGCCCCACCCACACCTGGTCACATGATCAGGCCCCCCATGCTCTCCCCTTCAGCTTCCTGGTCAGGGTCATGTGACCCAGCCCGCTGCAGTGGTTTGGGTCCCACCTCCCCTCTGCTCTGGCCTGTCCTGTGATTCATTGGTCCCACCTACTCCTGGGTCATGTGACTGCTGCCTTGCCCTGGCCGGTGGCCAAGTGCGTTGTGGGGGGGGAGGAGCAGGGCTGCCTCCATTATGGGTTGGGCTAGTCTAAGCCGGGGGGCCCGTGGTTCTAACCCAGGGGCGCCGGCCCTCTGACGTGTGCTCTCTGCCCCCCTCCAGGTCTTCTCTCCCGCGAGCGCTCGGACAGCGGGGGCTCCAGCTCGGAGCAGTTTGAGCGCCACCCCCAGATCCTGCGGGAGCGGGGCACCCCACCCATGGACCCCAAGCTGGCCTGGGGGGGAGACGTCTTTGCCGCCGACCCCCGGCCCCTCGCCTCGCCCCTCCGGCAGCCAGATGAGGAGGAGAAGGGCCTGCGGTGAGTGGGGGGGGACAGGGGGCTGTGGGGGGTTGGGGAGCTGTGGGGCCGAGCAGAGGGCATTGATGGGGTGGGGGCAGGAGGGTCGGGCGTGGGGCAGGGGAGGTAGGGGGCCAGGCTTGGGGCAGGTAGTGGAGGGCCCGGCTGGCGGGCTGAGGCATGACGCCCCTTCTCTCCCCCCAGGAGCGAGACGCCCCCCGTTCGCCTGCGGGAGGCCGCCACCCCCCAGCCCTATGTGGGCAGCTACCCGGCCTTCACTGAGAACGGCGCCCCGGCCCCCCTGCACCGCTTCCCGGGGGACGAGCCCCGCCCGGGGGGGCCCTGGCCAGCCAGCCTCGCCCTGCCCCCCAACGCTCCAGGGGAGCTGGCCAGGAATGGGCGCCCCGAGCCCCTGGCCCAGCCCCCCCCAGCGCCAGCCGGACGAGAAGCCCCCCAACACCGAGGAGCCCAAGGAGCCCCTGGCAGCGCCCAAGAAACCCCCCAAGGAGGAGCCGGTCCTGCCTCCCAAGGAGGAGCTGGCCCTGCCCCCCAAGGAGGAGGCGCCGCGCCGGGCCGAGCGCCCCTCGCGCCAGCCGCACGACTTCCACCGGCCGCCACGGCGCGAGGCCAAGACAGAGACACGCTGGGGCCCCCGGCCGGGCAGCAGCCGGCGGGCGGACGAGCCGCCGAGCGGCGAGAAGCCCCCGCGCAGAGCCGGGCCCATCAAGAAACCTGCGCCCCCCAAGGAGGAGGCTGAGGAGCTGCGCCCCAAAGCCAAAGAGGGCACCGAGCCAGCGGGCGCCAAGCCGGACCCACAGCCCGGCCCCAAGGAGCCCCCCAAGCCAGGCAAGGAGGCCAAAGCCAAGGTGCTGGTGAACGGCAGTGTGGCGGGGCCCCCCAAGGAGCCACAGGGGGCGCTGTCGCCCACCCGCCGACGCCGGGAGTGCCCCTATGACCGCGGGGGCGGAGGCTACATGGGGCGCGGGCGCGCCCGGGGGCGGGGGGAGTACTTCGCCCGGGGGCGTGGCTTCCGGGGCGCCTACAGCGGGCGCGGCCGGGGCAGCGGGGGCCGGGGCCGCAGCAGGGAGTTCCGCAGCTACCGGGAGCCATTCTACCGCCTGGAGGAGGGGCCGGGGCCCCCAGGTGGCGGGGGCGGCGCCCGGCCCCGCAACGCCAGCGAGACGCGCAGCGAGGGCTCCGAGTACGAGGAGATCCCCAAGCGCCGGCGCCAGCGTGGCTCGGAGACCGGCAGCGAGACCCACGAGAGCGCCAGCGACGTGGCCCACTCGGACAAGGAGGCTGCCCCACCCCCGCTGGCCCCCCAGCCCGTCAAGGAGGAGCGGCACCGGGGCCCGGCCGCCCTGCCCCGCTTTGCTGACAAGATCCCGCCCCGCCTCTCGGAGCCAGGAGCCCGCGGCGGCCGCATCTTCACCCCCCGCGGCGTGCCCTCTCGGCGTGGCCTGGGGGGGGGCGCCCCCCAGCCAGCACCTGGAGCCCCCCGGCCAAGCCCCCGCCCGGGAAGAAGCCGGAGAAGCAGGAGCCGGAGGCCACGCCGGATTCGCCCGGCAAGGAGAAAGCGGCGCTGGGGCTGGCTCTCCCGGTGCCAGAGGATCTGGCCGCGTTCCAGGCTCCCCCCCAAGCAGCAGGGGCCGCCCCCCAATGGCGCGGCGGATCGCAGCTTCGAGCGGCCCCCCCCGTCGGCGGCGCCACGGCCGCTCGCAGCAGCAGGACAAGCCGCCCCGCTTCCGGCGGCTGAAGCAGGAGCGGGACAACGCGGCCCGGCTCAATGGGGAGCAGCGGGGCGGGCCGGGGGCCCCGCCATACCTGCCACCCCCCACCCCGGCGGAGGAAACAGCCTCCCGGCGCCCAGCTGGTGCCAAGTCCCCGGACCTGTCCAACCAGAACTCGGACCAGGCCAACGAGGAGTGGGAGACGGCCTCGGAGAGCAGCGACTTCACCGAGCGCCGGGGCGGTGGGCCGGGCGAGAAGGAGCCGGGGGGCCCCCCGCCCCAAGCCTTCCTGAAGGGGGGCGGTGGGGGCGGCACACCGTCCCTGGGGGGCCGGGGGGCCAGCGCCGACCTGACCCTCGCCCAGCGCAAGGAGATGTCCAAGCGCAGCTTCTCCAGCCAGCGGCCCGGCATGGACCGGCAGAACCGGCGCCCCAACCCCGGGCCCGGCAGCGGGGGCAAGGCCGGGGGCCGCGGGGGGCCCGGTGGGGGCCGCGGGGAGAAGAGGACCTGGCCCTCGCCCAGGAACCGCAGGTGTGGGGGCTGAGGGGGAGGGGGACACTTAATGGGGGTGGACATAGGGACAGCGGGGGGTACATGGGGGGGTGGTCGGGGATTGGGGGCAGTGTTGCCAGTGGTCCGCAGGCCCTGGTGGGTGGGAGCCAGAGATGCGGGTGGCACTAATGGGGACTGATGAGCTGTGGGCTCATAACGAGGGCACAGGTCGTTAATGACAATGGACCGTTACTGGGGGGGGACACAGGTGGGCAGGGCCAAGGGGCACAGACACATTTCTGGGGGGGCAGATGCAGGTTTGGGGGGGCTGCAGGTGGGCAGGACTGGAGGGCACCCAGCTACCCCCCCTAACTCGCTCTCCCCCCAGCCGCCCGGCGGAGGAGCGCCCCCCGGGCCTGAGCCTGCCGCCTGGGCCCACCACCAGCGCCGTCTACCGGCTGGACCACGTTGTGCCCAGCGACCCGGCCGGCATCCAGCAGGCCCTGGCCGACCTGAGCAGCCGTCACGGTGCCCGCGCCAAGCAAGCCCCGCCCGGCACCACCCACGCCTCGGGCCCCACGCCGCCGGCTCCTTTCCCCGCCCACCCGGGCGGCTACAGCCGAGGTAACGGCGCCGCTGCCTTCCCCACGGGCTGTGGGGAACTGCCCTGAGACCCACGCGCCGGCCCCAACCCAGCCAGGATGGGAGCAGGGGGCGAGCGAGGTGGGGTAGCCTGAGCCCCCTCCCAGAGGGCTGCACCCCAAGCCCCTGCCCCAGGCTCAGCCCAGAGCCCGCACACACACCCCGAACCCCTGGGGAGAGGGAGTGACGGACAGACGGGTGGGTGGAGGGGGCGGGGGCTCAGGGAAGGGGCGGGGTAGATCCTGGGTTGCCCTTAAACTCAACAAGTGATCTTGGGTGTAAAAAGGTCGGAGCCCACTGCCCTACAGGACATAGACCCTGGGCCCCATTCCCTGCCCCCCTGAGCCAGCCAGTCCCCGCCCGTGGGGCTGGGTGAGAGCCGGCGCCCCCTAGAGGGCATAGACCCTGGGCCCCATTCCCTGCCCCCCTGAGCCAGCCAGTCCCTGCCCGTGGGGCTGGGTGGGAGCCGGCGCCCCCTAGAGGGCATAGACCCTGGGCCCCATTCCCTGCCCCCCTGAGCCAGCCAGTCCCCGCCCGTGGGGCTGGGTGGGAGCCGGCGCCCCCTAGCAGGCAGGGACACACTGACCCCACGTCTCGGTTTCAGAGCCTCTGTTCCTGGCCAAGGCCCAGCTGCTGCAATCGGGCGCCAGGGGCCTGGGCGACGTCCCCGGGGTTAACGGCTTCCTCCCCCGGCGCCGGGACCGGCCCCACAAGCAGGAGGTGAGAGGGGACGGTGGGAACCGGGGGGGCCCTTCCCCCAAGCGCTCACCCCCCCCCGGCGTTAACACTCCTCCTCTTTGTCCCTCACAGGACCCCCTGGGCTATTCCCACAGCCCCGGCTTCCCCGGCCCCAAGCAGGACCCCCCGGGCGCCCACCTGGGCCCGCGCGGCAGGAGCAGCTCCTCCGAGGGGCTGGCGCCCCACATCTGGAGCCGGCTGCAATCCAGTAAGGAGCTGAGGGGCAGGACCCAGTCGCGCTGGGGGCGCTGGATCCTCCTCTGGGGGCAGGGGGCAGTTTGGGTGGCTGCTGATAGATCCCCTCACCCGAGCTCTGCCCCCCAGGTGCCCCCAGGAAAAGCTACCGGCCCAGATCCGTGGAGCCCTGGATCGACCCGTTAAATGCCTTTGAAGACGTCGTCAGCACGGAGGTGAGGGCAGCAGGGGGCTCTCCCCGGGCAGTCAGGGCTCCCCATGGCCCCAGGACGGCGCTAGGGGCTGTACTGCAGGGAGCGGGGTGGGGGCAGCAGGGGGCTCTCCCCGGGCAGTCAGGGCTCCCCATGGCCCCAGGGCGGCGCTAGGGGCTGTACTGCAGGGAGCGGGGTGGGGGCAG